CCCGAGCCGCGCTCCCCGAGCCGCGCTCCCCGAGCCGCGCTCCCCGACCCGCGCTCCCCGAGCCGCGCTCCCCGAGCCGCGCTCCCCGAGCCGCGCTCCCCGAGCCGCGCTCCCCGAGCCGCGCTCCCCGAGCCGCGCTCCCCGAGCCGCGCTCCCCGAGCCGCGCTCCCCGAGCCGCGCTCCCCGAGCCGCGCTCCCCCGCTCCGCGCTCCCCCGCAGCCGCGCTCCCCCCTCCTCTTCTCCCACTCTCACCCACTCTCCCACTCTCTCCCACTCACTCCCACTTTCACCCACTCTCACACTCTCCCAAGCTCTCTCCCACTCGCTCCCACTCTCACCCACTCTCACACTCTCCCACGCTCTCACACTCTCTCTCATCGCTGTACTGCTCGGATCCGAGAAGTGTCTCTCGCCTTGCTTTCACTTTCGCAGCTTCTTCGAGAAAACAAGAGGGATTCTTGTCTGTGTTGTTTGCCACCTCGAGATCAGAGTCTGGTCCTGCATCCAAATCTTTCATCGCTGCTTTCCTTAGGTCAATGCAGCTCGTGAACGAGTTGGTGACGAGTTGGTCATTAGATCGTTCATCTTTTCACCTGAAAACAATTATACTAGAATCAGCAAAGAATCAAAACGAGAGAGAGAATGAGAGATAGGTCAAGTGATAGACTACATAGCTCTGTTTATTTGAAAAAAAATCTGAGATTCTCTTGCGGTTTGAAGAAGAATGTGAGAGTTTGAGAGAAGAGAGAGACTAGTGTAAGTGATAGACAACATAGCTCTGTTTATTTGAAAGAAAAATCTGAGATTCTCTCTAACGTGAAGAAGAATGTGAGAGTTTGAGAGAGAGACTAGTGTCAAGTGATAGACAACATAGCTCTGTTTATTTGAAAAAAAACTGAGATTCTCTCTACCGTGAAGAAGAATGTGAGAGTTTGAGAGAAGAGAGAGACGAGTGTTGAAGCTTGTGCGTTGTGACTAAAGGCTCTATAAATAACCGAACGGGAACAAAATAGCTGGTACGCACTCTTCTTCTCCAACGGCTATAAATTTCTTTTCTATTTCAATTAATTGAACCGTTTTAATTAATTGACCTTTATTTGTTGAAGATTTCGAAACGGTAAAAGAAAATAGAAACTAAACTGTAATTATTGTGGACGCTCCTGACACAACTTTATTTTAAAAATCCTTTACACACATTATTACATGTTTCCAGGATATCAGTTATGTCATCTTAAATCAGTGTGAGATGTCTGAACACTCAAATGTTTGGAATTCGGTTCCATCTCTGTTTACGGTTGGTCACGGTTAACTATTCGCCGTTTAATTATTTGGAGTATATAAGTGGAGGTAGACGAAGTCATAGGATAGAGATTATTATGGCGTTATTTAGAAGAGAATTTACGGTATTGGTTTAATCTTTTGTTAATTAGGTCGTTGACTATTTGTGTGCCATTTGCACGCTCTGTCACATAATGTGAAAGCGTCAGTTGGGAAGGATAGAAGAAATTGTTTTAATTTACAAAAGAGGCTTGAATTATATTAGTATATAACAATATAATCCGACTTGTTGTATTATAATACCCAATCTTATATATTAAAACAGAATTCATGACTTAACTTCATGTGTGATTTTTTTTAAAAATGGACTATTACTAGAAAGTCATGTTACATCTAATAATCTTATCATTATTATATCTTATGAAAAATCATATCTATAATAACAAAGATACGCTTAACAATTGGTTTTGGTAAATTACCCCACACCTTCCAATTTAGTCACGCAAAATATGTCAATAGATATAAGTTTATGAATCTTCTATTATTTATAAGGAAATATGTCAATAATAGTTAAATGCATCCATAATATATTAACAAAAATCACAGATTCGTAATATGGAATATTTATATACCCTAACAAAATTTACACGTTATATATACTAGATAAAATTATTTCTATGTAAAATTTTAAAATTATATTGTTTAAAAAAAAAGAAATTGTTTCAAAAATTCCTTTTAATAAAATTCTTTATAATATTAATTTATGAGGTTATAAGTTTAGTTTTTAGCAAAAACTTCTTCGAAGTTTATATTATCTTTGCAAATTAAAGTATATTAATATTTAATCAAGCTCTATTTATATTACTTTATCGAAAAATGAAATACTAATCTAACAAAAAATAAACTATAGAAAAGGAAACAAACACATGTTTGAAAAATATGTATAATATATTTGATTAAAACACGTATTATATAATATTATTATGTTTGAAAATATTTACTATACATATTGTAAATACATGATTATTATAATATATACCAATTTACAAGTGAAAACAAAATGTTTATATAATTAACTATAAACGAAAACAAACACCGCACACGTAATATGGAATATTTATATACCCTAACAAAATTTACACGTTATATATACTAGATAAATTTATTTCTATGTAAAATTTTAAAATTATATTGTTTAAAAAAAAGAAATTGTTTTAAAAATTCTTTATAATATTAATTTATGAAGTTATAAGTTTAGTTTTTAGCAAAAACTTCTTCGAAGTTTATATTATCTTTGCAAATTAAAGTATATTAATATTTAATCAAGCTCTATTTATATTACTTTATCTAAAAATGAAATACTAATCTAACAAACAATAAACTATAGAAAATGAAACAGACACATGTTTGAAAAATATGTATAATATATTTGATTAAAACATGTATTATATAATATTATTATGTTTGAAAATATTTACTATACATATTGTAAATATATGATTATTATAATATATACCAATTTACAAGTGAAAACAAAATGTTTATATAACTAACTATAAACGAAAACAAACACCGCACAAGTAATATGGAATATTTATATACCATAACAAAATTTACACGTTATATATACTAGATAAATTT